TTTCCCAAATCTACCTATTCCCCATTACCACTCCCCACACACTCCCCACACGACACATGTTCTTACCGCCCTGAACTCCTTGTCTTTCTCTTATAGCCTGATGTTCTTTTACACTTAGGCATATTCTTCTTCTGATTGAACTGCTTCACCCCTTCCCAGTCCCCTTTATCTCTGGCCAACTTTCAAGAGCCAGTTCCAATATCATCTTTTGAACTCCAGCTCTCCCACTTTTTTTCCTCTCTGTACTGCCACAGCACAGCGTTCATTCCACTGATTACAATTATATTTACATATCCCTCCTTCAGATTCAGAGCACATTGACTGGCTGGTAATTGTCCATAAATGCTTAGAAAATAAAACTTGTTGGTCTTCATAATTCTATGGTAATGAAAAAATTAATCAGAAAAAGGTTTGTTATATTTCAAAAATGAAAATGATCTATGCTTTTCTGGGATAGAAATCATAACTCCATTCTTATTCCAGCAGCTCTGGCTGCCAAGAATGTCCAGGGTTTGCTCTTTTTCCATTTTTTTTTTTAACTTCTAGCAGAATTTAATTTTGTCTTCATGATTACCATCTTTAAAAAATCATTCCCCCTTTAGCTTTTGCCATTCGAAGTAGGCAAAATTTACAGTTGTGATGAATGAAAGGTCTTAATTGGAATATCCAGGCTCCAGGAATATATGTCTTTTCCAGCTATATTTCAATTACTTTATGCAGATTGAAATCCAACATTTTACTGAATGTCAATTATGGTGCCTCTCATTCATAATGCTTTTAGTTTGGTTTTATAATTTAGTCAAACCAGGTAATAGAGCCTGGAGAAAGATCTAAAATCTTAGGTATTTGGCTAGAAATAGATTTGGGGAGACTGAAGTTGGTATAGGCTAAGATCCACATTAAAGGCTTGGTACAAATAGCAGGATTGTTGCTATAAATTCTGAATTTGAAATAATTTGAATAGAGGTTAATTTGAAGTTTGCCACTGATATTTATAAATTGTTTAGTAGTTAACTAATAACACTCTAACAATGCTCTGCAAGAAATACTCCAACTATTGAATAAGAACGCTAATAATAAAAACTTGGTTAGCACCTTTAAAATTTGTTATTAGGGTTAATAAGATAAAACTAATTAGAAATAATCATTTCAAATATTCTTATTTATTTATTTAAGTGGACAAAATAAAAGATCTAACTCCAATCTACTGGACCAGACCGGAAGGATAGGAATCCCAAAAGAAGCCTTACCTAAAGAGTCCTTTTCCCATATTTACTTATCATTGACCTCAAACTTGTTTTAGCAAGAAAGTTTTACTTTCAAATAGTTACCAATGAATCACTGACAGAGATATCTGAAGAACAAATATTTCCACCAACTATTAATTGTTAGCTTGGTGTATTTGGAAACAGCAAAATGCCACGGTAAAATATACCGTAATTCAAATAATTCTTTAATTTTTATTGTTGCCTATCCTTTGGTGAATACCAGTCTAAAGACAAAACAACTTAAATAGTGACCCAGCTTTCATTTTAAAAGTTAATAATTAAAGAAACCTTTTGTTCACTGTAATGTTTTGACTTAGAAAAGAACATGGCTCCCAAATTTTTAAATACTATCTGTGTTTACGAAGATCGTCCATGTTTTTCTTCAAATTCAATCCATATTTGCAGTGAAGAGGATCCAATTCAGAAATAAGAGTGGGATTTCAGTCAGAGCAGAAGAAAACACCTGCTATTAATCCTAAGAGCACAAGTGGGGTCTGGAGTGTCCGAAGCAGCCACCACAGCTGTGATTGGAGGTTGACCTCTGCTTCGGGTCTGTCTTGAGCTGGCAGGTGCCAGGACGCCATTCTGTCTGCACAGAAACATCCCCTTTTGAAGCAGCAGTATTTATTGCTCAATTGTGAATGCAAATGTTTATATGTTTGTGAATTAAGGATCCTTGCTTATGGTAAGCTGTCTAAAGAGGTCTAGTTGACACATGTGGCTTTGGCATTAGTAATTGGACTTTGAGGAAAAAAGTTTTCTTTGGACTCCACTGTAAAATTGTTTTGGAAAAGCTTTGACCTCAAACATGCCATATAACCTAATAAAGTGCCTTGAGAGGACTAGAAGAATGAGAGGCTTGGCCTCTGAAATCTCACCAGCAAAAGCAAACTAAAGTTTAAAGAGAAGCTTTTGGGGGGGAAAGGGGTCCGCACAGGGCAGGGGTTCCATAGTAACTGTAAGTAACCTTATAATAGGATTTTCTTCTAGGAGAGTTTTTCTTAATTCTAGTATTGGGAAGTGTTTAATTGTGGCACTAGACTATTAAGCTTTTCCAAAATAGACCATTCAGGTTTTCTAAAGCAGCTTCTCCCACCATAACTTCCATCAGTGCCTAGAACATTGCCAAACTCTCTATATGCATTGACAAATGTATAACATACATTTGTAAAATAGCATGTAAAAACATGCTATTTAAATAAAGACTAGAATCTCCATTGTATTTCTTAAACTTGATAGTAGGTATCCTCTCATTCTTTTGGGGGTACTTTCCTTTGCCACACCAAAGTAAAACCTTACTTGTAGAGCATTAGAGAACATTTTATATGTATTTAAAATGACCTAATAAATTCTTTAAACTTAATTTTACAGAAGTAGACACAGTCTATAGCAATTACTCACTACTTGGTTCACTGAAAACAATAATAAAACGTTAACATTTTACTGAAAACATAAAGAAAAATGACTTCCATGGTTTCCCTTTGTTTTAATGGCAAAAGTCTTTTCTGGGATAAGAGAGACAAGGGTTTACTTCGTTGATTCCATTTATCTTAGCTCCCATTCTTTCTCTCTGACCCTCCACAATTCCTCTTTCATTTTGAACTTGAGGTCTTGGGGTCACTGCCCAGGATATTGGGAAATGCAATTGGGAGGCATTTCAGAAGGTGTCTGTTGAAGGCAGCCACATTCTTTATGAGAATCTAGTTCTAGAGCTGTGTCCCAACACTTACCATCCTAACCTGGTCACACAGACTAGGTTAAAGTCCTGGCTAACTTACTTGCAAGAGACCTAACCTTGATAATCTTTGAGTTTTACTTTTGGCATCTATAAAAGGAATATCATAATACTTTCTTCGCTGGATTGGGAGAAGATTAAATACATTAACAGGTGAAAGTTCTTTGTTAATGGTAAAATGCACAAAATACAAGACATGATATTATAGTTATTATTAAGTTTGTGATAACCTCACAGCTGTTACCCTGAGTGTCATTAAATTCCTGAGAGCGGAAATTTAGTACAGTTCCTCTGTAGCAGATACCTAGCAGGAGATATTTCAGTAGACAGAGTATTCCTACATTTCCACCTGAAGCAACATAGCAAGGACTTAGGAAGGGGTACTTTGCTAGAACCTTGGCTGTGCATCTAGTCTAGACTTACACTTGTCTCCCAGGACTGCTAAAGGTGAAGGTGACAGATTGAAGGTAAGTCTCAAATGCTCCAAGTCTTCAAGTAGGCTGAGCCCTGAAACATGATTTCATATTTAAGAGCTAGCGGAAAAACGTATGGATGCCTTTAGATTTAGTATTTCCTGCTGGCATTTTTGCTTAAAGATTAAAGAAAATCTCAGTGTGGCTTAAGAATAGACAGCTGCCCAACGAAGTAGAAAATCCCGAAAAGAGCCACATCTATGTGGTTATCTGATTTATGACAAAGATAACACTTCAATAAATGGTGTTGGGTTAATTTGATATCCACATAGGAGAAAAAAAAGCATCTTGACTTTGACCTCACACTGTGCATAATATCAGTTCCCTATGAATTCAGATCTGAGTATGAAAAAGAAAGTAATAAAGCCTCTCTTTTTTATCGTATTTTTGTTGTTTGTTTTTTCCCCTTCAGTTAGGGCACGATGCCATACCAAACAATATAAGTTTAACATGCTTTAACACTGGAAGTGTTACATTAGTTTCAGGTTACAATATAATGAGTCAGCAATTCTATACATTACTCAGTGCACATCATGTACTCTATATCCTGTGCACCTATTTCACCCATCCTCCCACCCACCTCCCCTCTGGCAACCACCAGTTTGTTCTCTATAGTTAAGAGTCTGTTTTTTTTTCTCTTTTTTTTTCTTTGCTTGTTTCTTAAATGCCACATATGAGTGAAATCATATGGTATTTGTCTTTCTGTCTGATATATTTCACTTAGTTATACCCTCTAGATCCATCTATGTTATTGCAAATGGCAAGATTTTGTTCTTTTTTATGGCTGAGTGATATTCTATCTGTATGTGTATACTACATCTCTTTTTTATTTATCTTAATTTTTAAAAATTTTAATTCCAGTATAAGTTAACATACAGTATTAAAGTAGTTTTAATAAAACGTATAGCTTTTAGAATAAACATAGAAGGATCTCTTTATGACCTTGGAGTAAGAAAAAATTTCTTCATGGAGCACAAAATGAGATAAAGAGAAAAAAAATGTTAAATTGAATTTTATTAAAATTCAGAATTTCTGTTCATTGAAACCCAGTGAAGAGAAATAAACACAATACACAGAGTGGGAGAATATATTTGCAATAAATAACTGATACACGACTCATATTCAAAATAATGTAAAGCACTCTCACCTCTCTCTTGATATATATAAATATTAAAATATATATAGAACTCTAGCAAATCTAAAGGACAACTCAATAGAAAAAGGACAAAAGATGTGAATAGACAATTTATGGATGAAGATGCAAAATGGACAACACATGAATTAAAAAGAGTTCAACTAATTAATCACTGGAAAAATACAAATTAAAACAGTGTGAAACTATTACACTTCCCATCAGAATATCTAAAACAAAACAAAATGATGGAAAATACCAAATATTGGTGATGATATAGGGAAACTAATATAGGGAAACTTGAATCTATTCAAGCTACAATTTTTAAAATTTATTAAACATGTTTTTCTTTTTCTTTTCTTTCTTTCTTTCTTTCTTTTTTTTTTTTTTAGGGCCCTCCTGGTCCAAAAGGTGATAAGGTAAGAAAATGTGTAGCAGAAACAAATTAAGTTAGTGGAAATCCATTGGTATGATCTATGCTATATTTTGTAATGAGCGTCACATATGGACTTTATGCTAAAACTATCTACCATCTCATTTTCCTACTCTACAGGGAGAACAAGGTGATCAGGGACCTCGGGTAAGTTGTATTCTTCCAGTCCTGGGCAGAAAGTTGGTTTTCAGCTCCAAACTTATTGAATTAAAGTAGCCCTGGCTTTATAACTGCCTTTGTGTCATGGTTTAGTAATAGCTGGCAAAAATACCATACCATGCCACTTGTAAGTGAAATGGCCTTAATAATAATTAATGGGTACCTCCTATAGCATTGCTTTAACTTGAAACCTTTAAATAGGACACTGTACAATAATTAGCCCTACTGGTTAAGGGCCAGATTCACTAGTAAAAAGACAATAACAACCATCATTTTGTTTTGTTGGCTGTTGGGTCCTTCAGGTTTGCATGCATTGTTTTGTAATATAGAGGCTACTTGGATTCCTCTTAAATTTGGCCTTTTTCTGCAGTTAAACTTTATGTGCTATTGCATAAATATGTTATATTATAGATGAAAATATTAATGCACTTTATATTTTTATTCTTCATAAATTTGAATAATACTTACTTGAATTTCTTATTTTTTATAGATTTTTTAAACAGATAAAAGATGTAATATAATTTAGCATCCCAGGGAGGAGGGGCATTCTTTTAGTCTTCTCAAATGTGGCTCTTCTAACCATTATAACACAATGGTGAATGCTTCGTTGTTACCTTGGTAGTGCCAAGTCCTCTGCTTCACATCTGTGCCTTATTACCCAAATGTTCAGACATACTGTTCCAATGATGTAGTGGCTCCGTTCAGACATACCTCTCAATTTTCTCATGTCACTATGCACAAAAGCGAGTATTTGGTTGAAGAGTCATTTTTTACAGTGGAAAAGCACTTTTAAAACATTCAGGTTGAAAACAGAAACTGTAGGTTTTGTAAAATTCACTGTGTGTAGTTAATTGTTGAGTTCATTTATAGTGCAGTCAAGGTTCTATTGCAAAAAATATAGTTGATGCAAACTTGATAAGTTTGTAGTCTTATCTCTTCATGTTCTTAAACTAGATAAAAGGTATGCTATGATTTGTTTTCCTTCAGTTCTTCAGCCATTTCTTTATATAAAAATAATGACCATGCCTCAGAGCATTTTGTTTCTCATGGCAATTACTCTAGCGATGACTAACTTCAAGCTAAAAGCTCATGTTAATGGTTAAGGAGAGTAAACATCATGATATCTGTCATAGATGTGAATGGAATAAAATTCTCATAAACTTAAATGATTAGAAGAAAGCCACTTGATCTGTATGTGGTGATTATTTCATATGGCATGTCTCCATGTACTGAGTATCAATTCTTTATACATGAAATATCAAAATCACTCAACTTGCCTTCTCCAGGTAAGGGGGAAGCTGTTTCCATTCTGAGAAATCTTCTTTTGGCAAAGGAAGTGAAGGGGTGGTTCACAGCTTAGCTGTCATCATTATGCACACAGTCCTCATTTTCAAAAAGGTGTGTTGGCTTTCATCGTTCCAAAAAGTGATGATTGATTATAAAGGTAGGCCAAATTTTCAGGATGAAACCTGAAACCATGTGAAATTCACCTGGTTTCATGTTGCATTACAAACTAAGACTTGGACCAGGTTCCTTGCAAGTTTGGCCAAAGTTCATGAACTGCTTTGACGAACCCAGACTGCCTTTCATACAGATTTCAGCCAGTTTTCACACTGACTAAGGCCAAGTTTCACACGATTCAGAAGCCATTTAGCATTTCAGGTGGAAAGTGGCAAAAATTGATCTCATTTTCCCCACAATTTTGCTTTTTATTGGAGTTTGGATTGATTTTATCATGCAGGGTGAATCTTCATGGGTAAAAAAAAAATCTAAAAGTTCCTGTGAAGTATATGTGAATAAGAATGAGAACCTACCAAATTGCCTGTCTTTTCTCAGATTCCTAATTTAGAAACAAGGCAGGTCACATTTAGCGCTCTTTGAAAAATAAACCTCCCTTTCTAGTAAGAAAGTATTAGCGACTTATTAGGAAATTTACCATACTAAGATAGTAAAATGAAAGGTTTATATTTCCAGAAAAATCAAAAGTAAGTTAGAACTGGAAAAGTTTTCAATTTTAATGAAAATTCACTTTACTCACATCCTCCGTAGACACACTATTCCAGCTGATGCTCATGGAGACTTGCTTTTCTAAAATGTAGACCTTTGTGTTTGAATATCCTGCCCATTTTTATCCTATCATAGTTTTTGAATTCAACTTTTTACATTTGTTTCAAGTAATTTATTTCTTTCCATAATTGACAAAATGACCCTCCATCATTTCAGTTCTTTGTTAGCTCACCTACTGTTATGGGGTTTCTACTGTTTCCTGAAGAAGCAGGGCTTCTTGAAGACGGGCTCCATTTTTTTAAATCCTTTTTCTTTTTGGCTTCTGAGGTGTCAAACAGGAATATAGTAAGCCATATTATATGATTCAAAGCAGAAAAGTGTTGAAGATAATATAGACATTAAGAAGGTGAAACTATTTTTGAAACATTTGTACATATATTTAGCAATATACATTGAGCTTCTGTTATCTTCAAGATTCCATGCTTAATACTTTAGAAACTGTAAGTGGATCCACAGTCTCTCTTTTCTACTACCACCAAATTCAACCTACTATCAGCTCTTCTTGATTACAGTAGCAGTCTTCCAAGTAATTTTGCCTCCACTCTTGACCCTGTGTAATCCATTTTCTACACAGCAGCCAGAGGGATCACTTTATATTGTAAATTAGATCATGTTACTCCCTGTTTTAAACCTTAGGATGAAATCCAAGCCACTTTTCTTGGCCTCCATTAACCTTCAAGATCTGGCCCTTGCCTAACTCTGTAATCTCATCTCCACCATTCTTCCACACCATTCTTCCCCTCCCCGAACTGTGCTCCAGCCACCTAGTCCTCTATGTGCACTTCAAACACATCCTACTCATTCTCAACTTGATCACTTTCTATTTGCTCTCTTCTGGTCTTCTGGTGATTGGGTTCTTCTTATCCCTGAGATTTCATCTCAAATACTTTCTTGGGGAGAACTTCTCTAACTACTCAATCTAAATCTGAGATTATCCTATTTTGTATATTTATTTACTTGCTTGTTATCTGTAAAACATGCCCCACCATTTATATGAACTCTATGAGAGCAAGGGCTTGGTCTATCTTGGTTCATACCACCATCAGCTAGAATGATAAGGACTCAATAAATGTTTGTCGAATGTTAGAATAAAATATTATTATGTCATTACTGCCGTCAAGTTGCTAATAACTCATGGGTGCCTGAATAAGAAAACCAGGTGGTTGTATGTTATATGCCTTAAATAACAATGCCAAGAGATTCTAGATAACTGAACATTCTTCCGTTTTAAATATAATTGGACACTGTGGAAGTGGTGACACTTGTGCTAGGACTTGATAAATGGATAATCTTTAGAAGAGAAGATGAAGAGCAAGACGTTACACATTCCAAAAAGAAGAAATAATACAAACAATATTGCACAAGTGGGAAATGACAGGATTCATTTAAGGACAATAATATTTTATTTGCCAAGTGTATAAGTTAAATATAGAAAAATTACATCACATAGGACTGAAATTTTTTATCAAAGTTATGTTATGGAGCATTTTGAATGTTTAAGTGTGATAGGCAGAAGGAGGACATTGAATATTTTTTAGTACATTTTTTATGTATATTACTGACAGACTCTTTGGTGTTATTACCAAATGTTCTTTATGAAAATCTACTTGATGATGGTGTTTCATATGGAGTGGAATTGGAAGAGACTGAAAGGGCCCAGGAAAGTGTTAGTCATCCAGAACAAGGTCATAAGAACCTGAGCTATAAAGATAATGACCAGTCTTCAGTGAAGAAGTGAGCAGAGAGGATGGGCTGGCTCAGTCTGGAACATAGGGTATCATTGGAGGTAAGGGACCACACTCAGCAGAATGAGAAGCTGAGCAATGGGGAGGGGCTATGTTGGTGAGCCAAAGAAGAAATTCCAAAGGAGTCACCAAAATATGGGAGAGAGCTCCATGTTCTTTATGGAGCCTACCGTATGGGTTTATTTTTCTCATATAATGAGAAGTTTGGAGAAGGTAGTTGATGGGGTTATTTATATAATTCAATGACGTAACTATGGAAGTCTGTCTGAATCTCTTGGCCTTACCTTTGTAATTGTAAGAAGGCTGCTTCAAGTCCAGCCACCACATCTATATCAACAGGGAAAATAAAGGGAGAGGAGCCTGTACCCAGAAAACAAAAATTTCCCCATGAATTTCATGGCAAAATTTTAGCTCATGTCTCATTGGCCAGACTATGTCACGTAGTTACCTCACAGCTAAAAGTGAACCAAAGAGACTGGAGTTGAAAAGGAAAGTCAGGTCATCTTGTAACCAAACCAACATGAGTTCACTCCTTGGTAAGGTATAGATAAAGGCTGCACCAAGTGGAGTTGTCACACAAAGGAAACTTTATCTGTAGCAGATAAAGAGATCACAAGGAATAACTTCCAAAGCTATGACTCTCTGAGCAGGCATGAGTGGATTCCTTTTATTTAGGGTTAGGATGAATATTCAGCAAGGAGAGATTTGGCATCGCATGTAAAGGTGGCCATAAATTTGCACAGGTGTACTGAAAAAACATGCCTATACATGCATCGTACACTATGTTAATGAAGCTTTTGCTCCTCCTTGGGCAGAGACTTTACCATTATACTGAGGCATAGATAACTATTGGACAAGGGGAAGGGAGCTATGGGAATCCTCTAAGAGCTAGTATTAATAGGATCTTGGGATCTTGGGCTCGTTATCTCTCCAAGGCCTTGCTTCTACTCAGAACCTTGCCTCTTTGTATGCTGGAATACATCAATTGACCTTGAGTTCAGGTCATTATGGAGACCATTAGTGGATTTGTCAGTGGGGCCTGAAAAGACACAGTAGCTGATTAGGGGGGAAACATTTCTGAAGAGCAAACTTTAAGCTTTCTCCTAGTTTCAACTTCATTAACCCTATGGGGCACAGTTTCAATCTCACCAATAGGATTCGCCACAAGTATCAAGC